CATTTTTGGTTATTCAGGGAATTTGGATTACCTTATTAACCTATTAACCGACGCGTATACGCCTACGTCAGCGGTCACGAGGCAGGTATAGGATACAGTAGTTCTTAACGTACGATTGAACCGTTGGTCACAGCAGTATTTTTGGCGTATATAGATGGGAAAACTAAAAAAATAAAGCCAGCACATAACAGAACAGATAAGTAACAGTTTAAACAGTTTCTAACGGCTAAAAAAAACACCAATATTAACGGAGTCTAACGGCTAAAAAATCCACCAATTTTTGTATTTTTTATATACATTCATTATCAATCATTATAGGTTTTTAAAAGGAAAATCCGTATACCACGGGCTGATTAATGAATTTTGAAGCAGTCACCATTAAAAGTATTTTAAAGTATAGCAAGTTTCTCCAACTTTAAATCTTTATTACCCAAAAATCCCTTTAGTCACGAATAATAGGACATTATTTGGCGACTTTTCGTTTTCTTATTATCAACCTTTTATTTTAGTTAGTACATGGCTAAAAATTTTTTTGGAAACTCTTTGCTTTTCATGAGGCGTTATAGTACCCTTTTCGTTACCATAAATTTATTCAAATATTAAGAAATATAGCTTTTTAAAGCTAAAACATTAATTAATTCAATTTTTTAAAGGATTAATTCTGTACATGCTTTTGCAAAAACATGCGAGAGCCCCGAAGTTGGAGTATATTTTGTTATATATATCTTAAAGTATCATAACAAGGAAAAAAGACAAAGAAAACAAAGATCTTTGATCTGCATTAACCTATTATGTACTTATTGACTGAGTGGGAGGGCCGTACGGGAAAATATTTGGCTCGAGGTCATGTCGTACGGACCGAGCGCAGCGAGCCTAACTCAGTCAATAAGCATTTTATCATATGACCCTCACGAAAATAAAAATAATTAAGCCGTACGAATCCGTACTTTTCCGTATTTTTTCTAAGATGATTTAACTTTGCATTGCTTCCTTAACTTTTACTTAAGTAAATATAAAAAGGCTGGGGGACAACTAGAAAATGTCATTGTTAATTTGTCCTCCAGGCTCAAATATCTCAACTAATCTCTATTCTCAGTCTGTA